GTGAACCCAAAAATGTTTTCATTTAATGCTGCTTTCATCTCCATTACAATGATTAAAAAGTGTGCAGTAGAGAGAAAAAGCAGGCTATGCTATTAATAAACTTTATATAAGCTTACTTAAATCTTTATTCCATTAGAAAGGGGTTTGGGATAGCCATTATGAACAGTGACCTGTTATTAATAACCACATTTTGAAGTCCTCAACAAGTAAGAAGACCCGTGAAGTGTTCCTGAAGGTACTGGAGCCTCTGAGACATAGGAGATTCAAGCTTGTTATTCAAGAGTCTGTACAAATATAGAAGTTAAAGATGTTTATTGCGGCACTATTCACAATAGCCAAGTTATGGAAACAGCCAAGATGCCCCAGCACTGACGAATGGATTAAGAAAATGTGGTATCTATACACAATGGAATTTTATGCAGCCATGAAGAAGAACGAAATGTTATCATTCGCTGGTAAATGGATGGAATTGGAGAACATCATTCTGAGTGAGGTTAGCCTGGCTCAAAAGACCAAAAATCGTATGTTCTCCCTCATATGTGGACATTAGATCAAGGGCAAACACAACAAGGGGATTGGACTATGAGCACATGATAAAAGCAAGAGCACACAAGGGAGGGGTGAGGATAGGTAAGACACCTAAAAAACTAGCTAGCATTTGTTGCCCTTAATGCAGAGAAACTAAAGCAGATACCTTAAAGCAACTGAGGCCAATAGGAAAAGGGGACCAGGAACTAGAGAAAAGGTTAGATTAAAAAGAATTAACCTAGAAGGTAACACCCATGCACAGGAAATCAATGTGAGTCAATGCCCTGTATAGCTATCCTTATCTCAACCAGCAAAACCCCTTGTTCCTTCCTATTATTGCTTATACTCTCTCTACAACAAAATTAGAGATAAGGGCAAAATAGTTTCTGCTGGGTATTGAGGGGGGAGCGGGAGGGGGTGGAGTGGGTGGTAAGGGAGGGGGTGGGGGCAGGGGGGAGAAATAAACCAAGCCTTGTATGCACATATGAATAATAAAAGAAAAATGAAAAAAAAAAAAAAAAAAAGATGCTGGAGACCCAGGGACCAGACTCCATTGAAAACTACCCTCAGGCTGAAGCTACAAGGATGTGTTTGTGTTTGAGAAACATCAAAAGTGCACAAAACTGGGTTTGTTTAGAATCTCCCAGTTCAGCTACTACTAGCTCTGTAAGCTTGAGCAAGAGAACTAACTACTGAGCTTGGGTTTATTCATCTTTAAAATAGAAATGACAATACCTCTGTGATAAAGTTGTGACACAGATTAAAGACCACATTAACACATAGTAAGGGACTCAATAAATATTCCCTTTCCCCAACATGATCTCCTCTCTCCTAAGAGGAGACTCATTTGGCAAACCTGGAGAGGGTGAACTGACCAAAACATAGTCAGGGACAAAACTGATTCAAATGTATCTGAAATCTGCTGTCATTCTAAACAACTTCACTCTTCAAAACATTTGACTTAAGACTTTGATGTTTCCTCTCTGCTGTTCCCACTGTAAAGAGCTTTTACAAGATGTGGGTTCTGTACTTGAGAATGTAAAGAAATCGCCCTAGAGTAGCAGTTACCAAGACTGCCTTCCAAGCAAGACTAGCTTGTTGACTGTAGGGAGACACACAAACACCTGTTGAGACCTTGTCTCCCTAACTGTCTTGCTTGCTCTGTTAGCTGTCTAAGGGACTGCCCAGTATTCACTCGCCGAGCTGCCTTACACTCACACGTGAAAATCGGTTGCACCAAGTAAATGTTCCACAGAGGGAGTAGAGTCAGTGTTGACACAGGTTAGACTTCAGGAAGAAGATCGAGTGCATCTAGTACTTAACAAGAATAATCATTTTCCTTATCCATGCTGGTTTGTTTCTTGTTCCTAAAGCCTACATCATTAAAAGAGCAACTATTCTACCAATGATTCATAAATTTTAAATGCGTAAGTTTTTCTGAACTAACCAGAAATATTGTCGTATGTGAATAAATGCTTTTCTAATAACAGTAAATTTAGATAACAATTTGTAAAAACCAAGCCTGTCCTTAAATTGGCATTTGGGAGATAGCTAAAATTCCTAACAGCTTGCCATGTTCAAATTACAGATGATCAGAATGGGTTTCTTGGGTTTTATCATGCACAATTTTTGTTGTCACTGAATGACAAGTGTTTAAATACATTTAAATAAAGATCAGAAACCACATGATCAATTCTAGTAAAATTATATTTGATTGGAAGTAAAGCAAAATTTTTGTTTGTGTATGTTTATTATAAGATGAAGCACTTATCTCTGTGTGACTTGACTTTGGTATGAACAAGCAGGAAAGAACAAGATCTAACCAAAGGCTTTTATTTATCTTATGTGTTATGAATTCTGCTGTGTTGAATAATGTACACTGAAAACCAGAATTAAATGTCTTACCCCAAATGGAGTTGTGGGAAGGTTAAAGGCTAAATATTTGAAATCAAAACAAGCAAACAAAGAAGAAAAAGTGAGTAAAAGTTTATCAAACTAGAGAGGGGAGGGAAATAAAGGCTTATAACTCTTAAGAAATCACCTAATAAAAAAGTATCCAGACATTATTTTATAAAAACACAAAACACTTGCATCTTTTAAAGTAGTACTGTAAGGCAAGCATATTAGAAAAATAGTTACAGGAAGTAATTTATACATAGACAAAAGGTAATTATCTTTATTACATGAAGAGCCTACACTACACACACACACACACACACACACACACACACACACACACACACACTTAAACTACTAGGATATATTAGAAGCTTGGAGAAAATACAATTAGGACACAAAATCGACACCACTAAATATAGGTAAATACAAAAGAAAATAAAGACAAATGTTATTTACTGATCCCACTAGCAAATTTTGCTTAAAAATCTTTTTTTGATAGCCCTCTGCTCTTAGGGGTATAGGGAATAAAGCCTCATTCACCAGTGGAGCATTAAACTCTGGGAAGGCAATTTGATAGCGTACATTGAGAGAGTCATGCCCTTCAAAGAACGGGTTCTCTTTCTCTAACGCTACCTAAAGAAATAAAGCCTAAATGTAAAATAGCCTTTACGTGGTCATGATGATGTTCTTCACAGAAGTGAAAAATGCTAAGCCACCTAAGTGTTCAGCCACAGAGGAAGGGTTAAGTAAATCCTGATCCAATCATTGGATCTGATGCAAAGAGACCTAAAAGTGATGTTTAGGGTGACTATGTAAAAAAATACACTCTGTGTGATTTCCATACATGTAATTATGAACCAGAACATTCTAGAAACTCACTGAGCTGAGGCACAAATGGTAATTGTCTTTATTCTATGGGGAGGCAAGGTGGGGAAGAACGTGGGATCTGGGTTTAAATCCTAGCTCTGCCACTTGAGGATATTTGACTTTGGCAAGTTTTATGTTTGCTATGATTAGGTTTCTCCACTAGTAAGTTGGTAGTGAAGTTGTACCAATGTCCTGGGGTTGTTTTGAGGATTATATTGCTAACAGAGATAAAGCACTGACAACAAGGCCTAGCGTTTGTTAAGGGTTCAGTAAACATTAGCTATTTCCTTTTTTATTTAAGTGATAGAACCAATATGAGCAGACTTTTGCCTGCTTCCCTGCATTTTCCAAATCAGCTTTTCTCTTTTGAGAATATTACTGTTACTTGGGGCTGGGGTGGGAGCAATAAGTGTTTTCCTAAAGATCCTGAGAACCGGGTCAGCTGGATTATTCTAGCCACATAGGTTCAGCTGCTTATTAGAGCATCACAGTCTATAGTTTGAGAAAAGATACCTCATGGTTGCTGAGACCCGAGAATTGAAATTGGATGCAGTGATGATTGAAGTGAACCCTGTGTTCCATTTCATAAGAGAAAAAGCCCATTTCATAAGAAGTTAGGAAAGTCCGGTTTCAGTAAAGGATTGCTTGCATCCTCTCCCCAGTTTATCCCTCCTCTCACAGCCCCACCTCCAACCTCTGGATTCTAGTTAACTCAGTACTGTGCATTTTCTTTTCTCTATGATTTATATGGACTTTTTTTTTAAATGAAATCACATGTTTCAGTAGCAGGGCAAAATTTTGAAAATATTTGCAATATTGGAATGAGCAAATTTTCTTGAGCAAGGAAAGTAAATTAGCAAGAGTGGGAGGGAGTAGTTTTATTAAATTCTAAACATGTCAACAGGTATGCATAATTTGATTTATATATAAAGTTATCATTCTAAAAATACATTTTAAATTTCCAGGAGTAGAAGGAAAATTAAGGAAGAAATTGTTTTCTCTTTCCCCTATTTTACCCACAAGTTTTCAATTGAAAATTTTTTGGAAAAAAGTCTCTGCTCATTTTGGAAGCTTCTCTTGCCAGCAACTAACAAGTCTGTACAATACAGTTGCCAAGGCAATGTCAAAACCATGTAGACAGAGAGAGAAAACGTGGTGTGCAGACGGAGATGGTGAAAACAGATTAACAATGTGAGCACCAGGAGCTTTTTAATTGGAAAAAAATAAAATCATGTTATCCTTTATATAAGAGATGATGCCAGTAATGCTAACATCTTTTATTGTAAAGGAAATTCATTATCATAAGACTTTTCTTCCATATCATCTTGTCATAAGTGCATGAGTTAGTTGTTTCCTAATTGTGCCTGAATCACTGGACCTCTGCACTGAGCTCTGTCTAAATGAGTTCCACAGCATTCAAGTTAGACAAAAGAAATTTTTCATTTGCTCAGACCAGAACACTTTTCTCTGTAAGTTCTACTTGAAGCCTTGGATTCAGCCAAAGCCTTCCAGATAATGACTGCTCCCAAAGCTGTACAAATATTTGTTGCTTGAATAAATTTACTCTTGTCAGACATGAGTAATACTTGCTCAGTTTTCTAGGATGACTACTTCAGTTTTTAACAGACTAAACTTTGCTTTCTCTCTCTTATTTTATTTATTTATTTATTTTGTTTGTTTGTTTTGCTATGTTTTGTTGTCTTCAGGTACAATCCTCGGATTTACCCTCCGGCCTTACAAAATGAGCTACCGGGACGTCAAGTACTTCTCCTTCCCTGGGGAGCTTCTGATGAGGATGCTACAGATGTTGGTCTTACCACTTATCGTCTCCAGTCTTGTCACAGGTATCATATGCAGTTTTGGTGTTGTTGGTTGTTTTTTGTGTGTGTTTTTTTTTAAGTGTGCTTATTGCAAAAGATCGCTTAGAAAAGCAAACGCTTTAGGTTTCTGCTGGATGCATGCTTTGTTCTAGAAAAAAAAAAGTCCCTTCAGAATGATGGAAAGGAGGCTTTAGTAATGCATGAATGATTATGACTCTCATATTTTACCAATCACAAGAGGAAATGGATTTAAACAGCCACGTAATCTGTTCTGCTGCACCGTGAAAGAGGTGCCCTGCTAAACACTACACAACCAGCCTTCTCTGACCACAGTGATGTAGTTGACAACAGCGTACAACAGGTCTGTTTTCTCACCCTCTTATCCCACCCAGATAACATCTGGTTGGACAGCCCTATTAGCTATTGATGCAAGAATGCTTGTTCTCAGAGCCACCAGGACTTGAGCGGGAGCCTTCTTGGAAGCCTCATCAAGAGGTAATGCCCACAACATATTCACCAACTCTGCTGCCACCAACACTTTATCTTTTCCTGGTATACCCGCATGATTTTGTTTCCTTCTCCAGTTGCCCCCCACCCCACCCCATTACCTTTTACGCTGGTGGGAGAATGGGTTGGGGGTGGGAATTTCCCCATTGGATATGCTGTCCATTGACACTTGGATTTTTAGCCAAGTGGAAGCTTTGCAGGACAGTATTGTATTTTCTGCGACAATGAGAGAGCAGTTTACTCTTGCATGGGAAAAGGTTAAAGTGTCATTTCATATGTGATTGACAAATACAGACAGAGCCAAGATATAGCAGAAAAAATGGTACTGTACATTCCTTCCTGCCCACTTTTCTCTTTCCCCGCAGCACATCTCTGATTTGGAGAAGGAATTTCCATAGACACTGCCCCAACAGGATGGTTCCTGGGTTTGTAGCTAAAGCCCAGAACTCAGGTATCGCCCTGTTTTCTTTCCACCTGTGGTTACTGTCTCCCCTTAGACAGACAAACTCACCTCTGTGTGAGCTGTCTCGCAGCATCTTCCCCCAATTTCCCAGGGTATTAACAAAGGTATTTATAATCTTCCAAGATCTTCATGCAGTGAGAACTTCACAGTGGTAACTCAATGGTCATGGGTAACACTCTGACTAGTACATGCCTTGGAGGGCTGGTCATTAGTTGGACAGTAACTTAGTGCCTTGCAGATGGCTGCTGGCTTCCACTTGTCTGGGGCCTTAAACAAGTAATTACATGTATCCAAGCTCTTGTTGAGAGGATGAATTGCCCATAAAACAGTCCTCTAGACCTTTGTGTTACTTGTTCGTGAATTGGGGCTGCTCTCTTGCCCAGCTACTTCAGCAGCTACAATTCTTATCACAAAAGCTGTAGTAAATGTTGACATGAGAGCACATTTTCATTTTGTTAGCCGTTTTTCTGGGAAACAAATTCTTTTCAGAAAACACTTACAGGTCAGACCCATATTTGACATTTTATGTAGAAGAACAATGAATCTCTCTCTGCTTCATCCCTACTGGCAAGGTGTGTAAACTGAGAACCTGTGGTTCTCCAGGACACACACTGAGGAGTCCTGGATTCCTTTACACTCTCTCTTCTGGGGTAGAATCACTGGTGTCTCATAATTGTGCTGAAAATCCAGTCTTTAGAAGAGGAAAGCCACCCTATGATACAATTAGAAAAAAATACTACTTCCCTATATAATCTCAATTGACAGTTACCCTGAAATGGAATTCCCTGCTGTTTTTAATACTTAATAATTAACTTTATTGAAGAAATGAGCGCTTTAGTTGAATAATTTCACAGGAAAAAAATACTCTGATGCAATCCCTTTGTACGGTTAAAAAGAAATTTTTAGTAAAACCTTGGAGAAATTATCAACATTTACAATATTTTTTGTTAAAGAAAAAAGAAATTTTAAGTTTTAAGCAACCAATATGAAATAAACTTTTATAATGTAACCTAATTGCAAATTGGGAGTCCTGCCACATGGGACCATTACAAAAGTCTTAGCTCTCGTCCAGGACTATGTTAAAACAAGAAGCCTCACGGGTATAATTTAGCTTTGCCAAAGATCTTTTTAAGGTGTAAGTGTCAAAGGGATAATTTCCTAGCTACCCAGTAATTTAGATACTTATGATCAAGAAGAATGAATGATTGATTCTATGAGAATTTCCTTCATGGCTTTGAGTACAATGATTCTAAACCAACAGGGAGGGTATGACCTAGCAGGAATGGAGAGGGGGAAACTTTTGCAAATTACAAAGACCCCTGGATGATCCCCATTTGTGTTGGGAGAGTTACTGGGGAATGTGTTGCCAGGGAGGAAACAAAGCAAGGCTCCATTATTCTAGAATGGAAAAGCAATCACAAATGTTCCCAGTCCTCAAACGGGTAGCATATATATGTGAAGCTGCCTTTCTGGGCTACTTTTTGTTTTCCTCCTTTAATAGAGTCATGGATACAGAGAAATATTTCTCTTCAACAGAAGAAGGAACAGTGACAATTGTGATGATAAGTGGAAAGTGATTGCATTGCAGAATAATGTAGACAAAACTGAAGCAAGGAAACTATTGGGACTTGAAAAGCGTAAGATTAATCAGCTCCAGCCAATTGTTGCTATGTGCCAACAAAGGCCAAATCTTCCCATTTTTCAAGAGAATCTAATTATCTGAATTTTTTTAAGAGATCCTCCAGATATTTCACTTCACAAAACAAAACACTCTTTGTCAAGCAAAGAACATGTAGTGGTCCAAGCCAACCCTTAAGCTACCAATATCAGAATTCATATTTGAGTGTGAATATGAGTTCACTGCTTTTAAGAAGTGTGCAGCCAAATTCATACACCCGTCAGGCTGTCACTAAGTTCCATGCATTGTCTAACTCAACCATTGGCAGTCCTGGGCCAAAGCCTAGCTAGTCATGTTGAGTTGGCTACTGAACACCATGTTCTTTGCTGGCTAAACAAATAGCTGTTGAGAAGGCTGTCCTCTCCGTGTTCTGGATATGACCATAATGCGTAGTAACTGTTTTGGTGTTTTCTGCATCACACAAGAACATCATAATAAGAAATCAGAGGTCATAGTGCCATAGAAATTATTTCCTTATAGGAAAATTCTTCACAGACTTTATGCTTCTATACAGGGTCTAGACAGATGAAAATGAAATTGGATACAATCATTATTGTATTTCTTGGACTGGAAATAGGGAACATGCTATATATTTAATTGTACTAAAGTCACACTTAGTTTTATTTTGTTTTGTTTTCTGAGAATCAAATATGGGGCCTTGTACATGTTAGGCAAGTGCTATGCTACATTCCCCAGCCCTTAAAGTCACATTTAAACTCTGCAAAATCTAAATTAGATTTTTGTATTTGAAGCATCCATGTTTGTGAATTGTGCCTCTAAAGTCCCCGTAAGCCACGTTCTCTTTGTCCTAAATTGAAATTCCAGTCTTCCCAAACATCCCTGGTGAGTATTAGAGCCTTCCAGAAACTGCCAGGTTGACGCTGGGAGAAAGCCTCATGGCTACACTTGTACTCAAGTACCTATTTTTTTGAACAAGAAGAATATATCTGTGCCAACATTCCACACAATAAAACAGGGGTTTGGCACCAATTTCTATTGATTTGCTCATGCCAGGAATATGAGTTTGCTCTCTTGGATTAGCCTTATTTAAACTCACTGGATAGTAATTAAATGTCATTTTTGGTTGTACTGTGTGGACATAGCTATCACCTCCTTCTTCTCAATCTTTTTAGGAAACTAGCACTCTCTTCTGTTCTCCTTCTAAGTGTGCAGAAGAAAGCTTTGATGTTCACCCGAGTTTTCTGGAGGAAGGAGGGAAAATTCAGCAGGCAGCCTCGTGGAATGGGGCATAGTATAAGTGAAAGAGATGCATCGTGTTACATTCATTCATTCATTCATTCACAGCTATTTACACAGTGTCAGACACTGAGCCAGGCACTGGGGCTACCAGGATACAAAGATACCATCCTCAAGAAGTGTGAGCCTCCCCAAATCCGCTAACTCATACAACATATGAAAGCAAATTCCCATTCCAGTTCCACTGGTTCTCTGCACACCCAACAATAAAGAGACAATTTGTTTTTTCAAGAACACAATCCCAGCCAGGTGCTGGTGGCTCACGCCTGAAGTCCTAGCTACTCAGAGGGCAGATCAGGAAGATTGCCATTTGAAGCCAACCGAGGCGAATAGTTCTTGAGACCCCAAGCGCTGATGAAGTGGCTCAATGTGTAGGCCCTGAGTTTAAGCCCCAGTACCACAAACACACACACACACACACAATTTCAAAGTTGATTCTCATAGAGTTGTGGCATCTCTAAACCAAAGTCAACCAGTCCAAAATTTTCCATCATGGGCATCATCCTTTCACATTCACTTAAAATTTTCTTTACCTTAATACACTTTTCTTACAAGACTTCAAATCATTACCAAAAATGATTCCTTGTCTTATAAAGGCAATAATAAATTTCTGTTATGAAACTCTGAATTGACACAGTTGTCTGACGAAGTCTCTGAAAGCCTGGCACTCTCTAGTTTTAAGAAAAAGAGAAGTGATTAGCAAATGTTTACCAAGTATTAAGTAATTAGAACTGAAATCAGGCTTTGTCTTTCCTGTAATCCAAAGAATTGAAAGACAAAAGACTGACTTTCTTACTTACTGTATGATTTAATAGAAATTAAATTTGTGCCACAGGAGCCACCATAATTACCTCTCTATCAAACACTGATGTAGCCCAATGGTCCTGCTGTTTCCTTTCCAAATGATTGTCCAGTTTTACCTGAACATTTATAAGAAAAAGAGATCTTTGAAACCCATTCATCCTTGGAAAACTAACAATTCTTATTTATATCTGAAAATAAAACAAATAAAAATTTAAAAACAGAAAAATAAAACGAACACCTGCTTGCCTTGTAATCTCCTCTCCATGTGATAAACTCTCTGACGTGTCAAATATTATTTAGACAGCTTCTTTTCAA